TTCGGCCGAGGCAAGGGGTCTGTTTCAGGAAAGGCTAGATGTTCTTTTGAGATTTGTGAAAAGGAGAAGCAGGAAAGAGATGCTCTAGAAGGCAGTCATGGTCAAGATCAGTCTAAGGCTGACTTCTTTTTCCTACTCTTTCATGTCAATCCCTTCTTGGGCCCCTCGTTTATCTTTCTGGAGATCCTCAAGCTCAGACATCTGTTTCAACTCAAAGGGTCTTTCAAATACTTCTTGAACACGAGGCTGGTACCACAGGGTGACTGAGGTAACCTCTAGGAGCTCACAGACCCAAACCTGCAACATGCGAGCCAAGGCAGACATTGAGGAAGGCCGCAGGTGTTGGTTGGGACCTGAGTTGCTCTCTCTGTGTTTAGGTCGGGTGTGCGATGTGCCAGCAGAGCATGCAGAAGCACTTGCTGGAGTCTCATGAGGTGAGAGTCGAGTGTGATTCATCCTTTACAGCCAAGCAGCCAACCTGGGAGGAGGGAAGGGGAAGGAGCCACCAATAATATATTTCCACCTGACCTCTCACCTCGCCCAAGTAGGTTTGGCGAACAGTGGCGAACTAGCTGACCATGGGGACACAGAGCCTCTTGTCCCCCCAGATGCTGGCCAGAAGGGCTTGCCATGGTCCATGAGCCCAAGAGAGCTCAAATTCTCTGAAGAGAGTCCCTATTCTGGCCCTTTCCATCTGCTTTCTTATTGGCTTCCATCCCCTAAGTAAACAAGCTCATATCCATCCCAACTGGGCTGCAGTGGCTACAGGCCCATCCCGCCTGCCTCTCTGCAGGCCACAGAATGCCAGGAGCGCCCTGTGGAGTGTCAGTTCTGTGAGTCGGCTGTGCGCCTCAGCATGCTGGAAATCCATGAGCACCACTGTGGCAACCGGACAGAGCTCTGCCCAGACTGTGGCCAGCTCATCATGCTCCCAATGCTGGCCAAGCACAGAGATGTGTGCCAGAGTGAGCAAGCCCAGCTCGAGAGAGGTGAGCAATGCAGGCTGAGGAGGAAAAGGGAAGCCTCAAGGAAAGGGAGCCTCTCCTGGGTGGGATGCAAGGAATGTAGGTGTTCAACAGGACAGATGACGTATGTGTATGACAGATGTGCGAGTCTCAAATTCATTTGGCCATTCTAGTTCTAGACCATGTACTAGAGAGGACTTCTTGTGTGTCTGCTATGGACTTCAAATGGCTGGTCCAAGGAGACCAAGAGGCAGGTCTCTTGGGGGGGCCTGGGAGCCACACAGATGGGTGCAGAGGCAACAGGGGCCCTACAAAATAGGAGGCTTCCTTGGAACTTCTCCAGTACAATCCCAGCCTGGCAGAGATCCACCTGTATCCTCTTACAGATGAGAAATACATGCACAGAATAAATCAGGGGCTTGCGAGAGGCAAAAATAAAGCAGGACACCCAAGTTTCCCGACACCAAAGCTAGAGCTTTTTCTATCAGCAGCTGTACACCAAAGGAAATCAGCTGTAGCTCCTGACCTTTGGACTTACATGGTGGCTTCCTGGTATCTTTTCATGTTCTCTGGACCTAGTTACCTCTTTAAGAGGTGTATTGACAGAAGACACAAGCCTCAATATAACAGATCTTCTGTTTGACTTCACTGATTGTTTTATTAATATGGTAACATGTGAAGAGAGCCTGAAACCCCTTGGACGTGAATCTCTCCTAGTAAACAATCGATCCAAGGTCAAAACTGGCAAAGGAAAATCTGGAATGCTTGAGAGTCAAGTACATTTCCTTCATTCCAGAATGGCTGGGCTTTAGCACAATCTTACTTCAAAATAACTTCATCAACACAATACAGCTTCAACAAGACAACACAGCACAATACAATCAGCAAAGATACGTACCATAACACCTAGTTTGATCCCAGAGCTCAGAAACTTGGTGAAGTGAAAGAGCAGTCAGATTGAATGGGACTGGCATCTGTGGTAATGGCTCCTTTCTTCCCCTTAGAAACCAGTCCTTCTCCAGGAAAACGTTTCTTCATCATGGTCATGTGCTGCCCTGAGTGAACCTCTATGGCCATAAAGGAAATGATGTGGATTATTTGGCCAAATCTTGCCTTTGGGTCCAAGGACACTGTCAATGCAGGACACTCATGGCCAGGCAGGCTGAGGACAGTTCATACTTATGACTACAGGCCATGTATGCAGTTGTGGGACAGCTGGGCTATTACTGTCAAGGGCAATCATTTTCGGTGTTGTTTCTGTGTTTATTCAGGGAAGAGAATTTCGGCTTCTGAAAGAAATAGCTACTGTCATTATTGCAACAAAATGATCCCAGGAAATGAGTATTTACACCATGTGGTGAGTAGTAATTAGTCATTTTCTAATGTTGCTCATACTTGTCCATGTTCCAAAAAGTGTGGAATGAAAGGTAGATTCAATTTTACATAGCGTGGATATTAGAGGGTCTTGTATTTATTTTTGCTTTGCTCAAATTGTGAATTGCTTTAGGCTAACTTATCATATATAATTGGTCTCCATTTGTGCCAACTCTTCCAAGAATCTCCCTGACCAGACCAGCTATCCCTGATCACCTCTGAACATCAACCATCAGGGCCTGGACATTGCAATTTGGTCCCCGATAGAACCTGCCTTATAATTTTCTGTATCTTGTCTATTAGACTGTGAGTTCCTTCGCAAAAGTGAATGACTTTCTTCATCTTCCCACAATAAAGCTGATCTCAGCGCTGGGTACCAAAGGAGAACTCTGTAGAGGTGCAATGACGTGATTGGTTGGTTGATTTTGCCTAGGAACACGCACAGACTCTTCTCTCCATAGCTCTAAGCACCTTTTGGTGCTTTAGCTGTGTCGAGTCACTTCCCTTTTTTGCAGGATGGAGCATTTTCCCTCTGGGAAAATTTACCAAGGCTTATCTCCAAGGAACTCATCTCCTTCTTGAACAGAGAGCTATTTTTCCTTTCTTAGCCCCTCAATTCAGAGAACTTTAAATATCAGAACTAAAGAAATCTTAGGACGATTTAGATATTTTTGTTTATTGTAGTAAAATACACATAACATAAACTCATCATTAATATTTAATACATTCACAAGGTCGTGCACCATCTCTTCCGTCTAGCTCCAGAACATTTTCACCGCCCCAAAGAGAAACCTGTACCCTTAAGTAGTCACTCCCTTCTTCTCCCTCTCTCCAGCCCCTGGCAACAACTAATCTGCTTTCTGTCTCTATGGATTTGGCTATTCTGGACTTTCCATATAAGGGGAATCATATAATATGTAGTCTTATGTGATTGGCTTCTCTTAGCATAATGTTTTCAAGGTGCATCCATATTGTAGCATGTGTCAGTGCTTCATCCTTGTATGGCCTTTATGGTCATACTACCCTTTGTTTATCTATTCATCCATCGAAGGACATTTGGGTCATTTCCACCTTTCAGCTCCTTGCTTTTTGAAATGTAGTCTGTGGGCCAACAGCATCAGCAACACCTGGGAACTTGTTAGAAATACAGAATCTCAGGCCCTCCCCCTAGAAATGCCAAATCAGAATATGCAGTTTCACAACATCCATTGTGATTTGAGTTTGCGAAGCATTGAACCCAGCCAAGTGCTTCTCAGCCTTAGCTGCACACTGAAATCTCCTGTGTTTTCCTTAATACTGATGCTTATCCTGTTACATAAGTGGTCCATGTCTTTCCTTTGAATCAGAAGATACTTGGTGAGCATCAAAGCAAGAGTGGAGCTGACTACTCCCCTTCAAAATCTCCAGACTGGACACTTAAACACTTACTTGAAGCTCTAATAAACATTGTACTGGATTTATGGTCAGAAACCCTGAATTTTAGTTCTGCTCTGCCACTTACTGACTGTGTAGTTTCCCTGAGCATCTTTTTTCTTTTGAGGAAAATGGGGATAATGATTTGTCTATTTCTTCATTAAAAGACCACTCACCACCACGTGTACCTCCATACCAACACACACACACACACACACACACACACTGCCTTCCCACTTGTTAATCATAAAGGAGCTTTCTATGTTCCTTTCTTAATCTGACTGGTACACTACATCCCATCTTTTCTGCTTACACAAGGTCATTGCTCCATCGCTCCAGTAACTCTCCCTTCTCTCTCCTACAACAGGGAGAGGTGAAATGAGCTGCACATGTAGGCAGCAACAGTCTCAAATTGTCCACTCCAGTATGTTCTAACATCTGGTTCGATATGCTTTTAAAGGGGTACTATTAACAAATATTTACATTGATAGTGCAATCTTTGGCTCTGCATGGAAAACATTCTTGCTCTTTTTTTTTTTTTAATTTGCAAATTAAGGACTGAAATCACTTACACCAGGTGGTTTTATGGTTCTCAGACTTTCGTATTATATTAACATGACCCAAAAACAGGAAGGAAAAAAAAATACTTCTCTTGCTTTAACTTCCTGCCAGACACCATCTTCTTTCTTTGTTCCCCTTTGTGGCAAAATGTTTGAACAAGTTGTCTCCAGTCACCGTCTCCATTTCTTCTTCGCCCATTCTTACACCCACTCCAATCTGGCTTTTGTGTCTGCATCCCCCACTCCTCCAACAACAACAAAAAAACCCTGCTCTTGTGAAAATCATTAATGACCTTCACATTGCTAAATCCAACTATCAGTTCTCCGTCCTCAATTTTTGAGGAGACCACTGTTCATCACTCCCTCTTCTTCAATTCGCTATTCAGTTCACTTTTTCAATTCACCTCTTTCTTAGCTTCTAGAATATTATACTATTCTGGTTTTCAATTACCTCACTGGTCTCTCTTTCTCTTGCTCCCCAACCACTTAATTTGGGAGTCCTAGAGTTCATTTCCTGTGTTTTTCTCTACTTATACTCAATGCCCCAATCATTTCATCAAATCTTGTGATTTTTAAAAATGCCTTATACAGACAGACACTTCCAAATCTATATCCCATTCTAGACTTTTCTCACAAACTCCAGACTCATATATCACTGCCTACTCCACAGCCTCATTTTATAAACAACCTATTTAAAATTGTTACCCTCTCCCCATCCCACATTTACCATCCCCCTTGCCTTTCTCTACTATTTCCTTTTGCATAGCACTTATGGACTTCTAACATATTATCTAATTTATTTCTTTATTAAGCCCTTGTTAATTGTCTCCTACCGCCCCAGTTAAAGAACAAGCTCCACTTGCTCGCCTTCCTGCTAACTGCTCCCAAGTCACAAATACTCTACTTTCTAATTCTTTTAGCTATTTCTTCTGGCATTTAGTTCCATATTTCTAAAGTATGTTCTCATACTGCTAATGCTTTTTTTTCCCAATTTTTTACATTATCCATTAATTCATAAGGATTTAAGGATATGGATTTTGCTTTATTACACCACTTATCCTACACACACCTCCAAGTTTCTTCTCTCCATCCTCCCAATTTATTGATATCACCCATTTTGGTTAAATTAACAATCGATATTATATTACAACCATGTAAATATTATATTATTATGACCAAGTAAATATTATATATGGCTATGCCACACAAACTGCAATTACATTTGCTTTCTTCTACAACTTTTTGTTTTCTCTGGAGTTAATAATGGCTTTAGTTTTTCATATGCTTCACTCTCTAGGTACCTATCACTAAGTCATCCCTAAAACTTTCTATCAGATCTGAAAATTCCCCCTTCAGTACAATCAAACACATTAGATATTCTATTCATTTCATTTTCGGGGCATGTGGCTCCCCAGGCCTGATGAGTAGCTTTCATTCTGAAAATTTCTTCCACTATCTCCTGTGTTGGAGTTGTTCCCTAAATTTTAGGTTCAGATCTTTTTCTTTCTTTGGTGGAACATATCCTTGAATAGTTTCTTGAGAAGTAAAGCATGGGAGGCTAACTTTTTTAGATCTTATATGTCTGAAAATGATAGCTTGGATGGCTATAGAATCTATCTACCATCTTAATTTCTTAAATGATATTACAAAAATTTTCAACAAATATAAAAGTAAGGAGCAAATATTTTAAAAATCCCATATATTCATCCCCCAGATATATCAATCATCAAAAGTTTTCAACATTTACTTCATCTGTCTTTTTTCCTTTCTTTTTTGTTTTTTCTAAAGTATTTTAAAGCAAATTGAAGATATCCTGTTCATGTCATTCATCGTTCTTTAATATCCATCTTAAAAATAGTCAATTTCTTAACTACAATGCCTTTATTATTCTCAACAGTAGTAACAATAATTCTTTTCTACTATCTTTTTGGGGCATTCCACTTACCATGCTCATTCATTACTGCTGCTGCTACTTTCTCCTCTCTTACCTTCTATTGAATTAAGCAATTTTTCTTCATTTTCTTTCTCCTTTTCTACTCATTTGGCAATTTTTCATTCTATTTCTATATTTACTATCCTTAACATTTTAATATGAATACCTGACTTCATAAAGTCTAAAATTAATCATATTCTCTGCCCTCTTACAAACAATACGTGGATTTGAGCATATATTAACTCTGATCCTCTAGTCCCACCATATATGTAAATGCTGCCAGAATAATTTAGTTCCATCTTGTTTTCATACTATCCCTCCTTTGTCATTATTATTTTGTTGTCTTATGCAACTCATGCCTGCTTGGATAAACTCACATGTTTACCTTTTTCTTTGCTCACATCCTTTCTTGAATCCCAAGCTTGCCTTCTCAGGAAGATTTTTCTCTTTCTGAAATACACTTTTCAGTTCCTTCAGCAAGAAAACTGTGAGTAGCAAATCTTTAGTTGCCTGAATATGTACTACTTCTTTCCGCATTCTTCAATAGTTTAGCTGGATATCAAGTTATAGGTTAACAGTTACTTTCTCTTAGCATTTTGAAAATTATTTCACCATCTTCCCACCTCTGATTGCTGTTGATAATCTTTCCATGTAATTCTCTGCTTTCTGTGTAATTGTCATTTTTTTGTAGACCTTTATCTTTGATTGATTTCAAGATCCTCTTTGCCTTTGATCGTCTGTGATTTCACCACGATGCAGCTAAGGATTTATTTTTACTCATACTGCTCAGAACGATGTTCTCAAATGTGGTGGGGTTTTTTTTTTCTCTTTTTCCTCAGGATTTCTCCTGTTGAATCTAAAGATTTATGTTCTTAATCAGTTGAGAAAAAGTCTCGGCTCTAATCCCTTTGGATCCTCATTGGTGCCTAACTCTCCTATGTTCTCCCAGTTCTTCCTGTAGAACACAATGGGTGTATATTAGGTCTTCTCATTCTAACTTCATGTCTCCTAGGATGTTTCATACTTTTTCCATTTCTCTCTCCTATATTCTGGTAATTTCATCCATTGAGTTTTCATTTCTATCTCTATCACTCATTCAAATTTGCCTACTCTTTGTTCATAGGATCTTATTCTTTTCTCTTGTTTTATTCACTTTTAATTAATTTTACTCTCCTATCCTATAGTTCTCTTATCTGAACATCTTGGAGACTAATCCTGCTGTTGGTTGTGTCTATGACTCTTACGCAAGGTAAATTGCTTCCTTGTGTATTTGTAAGTTCTAATTGTGATTTTTCTATTTGGTGGGACACTTATCTGTGAGAATCTTGTATGACCTAGTTTGAAGTTATGTACCTGCCAGAGGGATTTCGTTATTGCTTCTGCCATATATCCCAATATTTATGTGAATTCTTCTGCTTGGATATTCCCAGACCATGAGGCTAATGTAAATCTGAGCCCCAGATACAAGAATAGGCCTGTGATTTTGAGTTTTCAGGAGTGTCAATTTTTCTTCCCCACGCTCAAATTCCAGCTCAAGGTAGACAAGCTCCCTTGCCACTTATCTTTTCCAATTAGCTTATTCTTTTCCCTTAGACACCATACTTTAGCCTTCATTGTTCTCAGCTTTATGCATGGAAAGGGAAGTCATACTTCCAATTCCCACAGTATGTGAATGGGATTCTTCTATCATCCAAGCCCTTAGTTGCAAGATTGACCACACATTTCCTCCCAAAGTGTCATGTACTTAACAGGTCGGGTCTCTATTCCTGGAACATGGAGCTTGCCTGCTTGCTTGCTTGCTTGCTTGCTTGCTTGCTCACTCAATTGATTGGTTGGTTGCTTTCTTAAAAAGTCAGCTCAACTTAAATGAATGTTTGTCATATTTTATCAAGCATTTCTAAGTGTTTGTAGTGGAAAGTTTTCAGGTTATCTAATCTATTGTGGTGTCCAACCATTAAAGCCAAAGTCATTTTTAAATCTGATATATTACTCACAATTGCAGGATAAATGTCGTACAATATCAAAGTCTGCAAAATATCTTCCAGTTGGAGAGCCAAGCATTTCTCCTCCACCCCTTCCAAGTCAGGCTGCTGAAGATCAAACTTTCATAGCAGAAAAAGATGTCCGTCCAAAGATGAAAAATATAAACAGATTTCCTCTTCTTCTTGAAAATTCAACAAAGCAAGCATCAGATGGCACGAATAAAACCATGGATCTGCCTTTGAAGTCAGAGCACAAGCCTTGGGTCGCCTCTACTACAGAAGATGAGGCAGTCTATGACATTCTGAAGAGATGTTCTCAGTGTGGTATCCTGCTTCCCCTGCCGACACTGGACCAGCATCAGGTACCCAGCCTCTGTTTTCTCCTTACGTGGCTATCAACCATCTGGACAGGGCTTAGAGAAATCCAAGCCCTGCAGGATGTTCCCATACACTGCCACTGGGAAGGCTCTTCCTTATCTCCCCCTTCTCTGTGTGTCCAAATGCACTCTATTGTAGCATTTACCACCTGGTTTGTTTGTATAATCTCCCAGAGTCTGGGCCACCTTTGAAGGAAGGGCCAGATCTTTCATCTCTGTGTCTTCAGTTCCTGGCCCAAGGGCTGACCACAGCAAATGCTCCAAAACTGTCGAGTTAAATGAATGAAGTTGAGGGCATACAGTCTAGCTCTCTCATGGTAGAGATAAGGCAACTGAGGCCCAGACAACAGAGCCTCGGTCAAGATCCTAAACCAGTTGGTGCATCACCTCCAGCAAATCAAGGTGTACTTCCAGCAGATCAGGATTTTCAGCCTCAATATCCTGACTTTTACACTCTAGATTATTTTCTAGTGATAACAAAATTTAGCATTAGAGGTAGTTAATTATATGCCAGCTACAATGCAAAGGTCTTTACAAATGGTTAATCTACATTACAAACAATAGGCAGGTATTTTATCCCCATTTTATAGATAAAGAAAATAGAAAGAAAGACCGAGTAGCTTCCCCAGGGTTATACAATTATGTCACAGAATCCAGCCTGGGATCCACATGTATATAGTTCCAAAGTTAATGCTCTTAAGCTCCAGACAGAATGCTTCTCTTAAAAAAAAAAAAAAAAAATCTCTTATTATTTTTTTTGTTTTTCAAAACACAAAAGTACTAGATTTTGTTGCAACCGGCTGATATAATACCATACAAAGAAATATAGAGGCAAAGCTAATCCTCCTCACTCTCACCCCAGCTCCTCCGCAGTCCCATGCCCTGAGATAACGTCAGTAGCCTGGTGGGTGTCTTTTCAAAACTTTACCTTTGCTCACACAAACCTGAACCAGCCTATACAGGGTTTGAATTTTTTCTTTTCCCCACACATTATTTTCCTGTACTCATTACTCTGCCATTTGTCTTTTTCACTTAATCTATGATGCACACTCCTTACAAAAAAAAGTAGACCCAGACCTTATTTGTCTAACTTCTTTATGCATCTATATATGCACATAATCATATAATTTTGCAAGTATGGATGAATTTCATTCTTGCTGGGGGTGTTATTACAGCCATAATTTCTTGCCTCCCATAATGTGTTGTTTCCTTCCATACTTTCCTCTATCTTTATTTAAAAGGGTTGATGAATTTAGCAAATGGAAACATATTACTTAGAGAAGAATAACTACAAACTAACTGCATGGGACATACTTATACTAAAAAAACCTCTTCTTTTCTCTAAAATTAATATTTAACTGGACATTCCAGTATTTCATCTGGCAACCCTATTATATAACCACATACAAACATACACATTAGGAGTCCAGTTATAAACATTTCTTTGCATCTTAATGTTATTTTTTTCCAGGGCCTTAACTATTTTTTTCAATTACAGTTGACGTTCTATATTATTTTGTATTAGTTTCAGGTGTGCGGCATATAGTGGTTAGACATTTACACAATTTGCATCTTAATGCTATGATTCAGCAATACCTGAGGACATCCTTCCAAGTCAAATGATATGACTCTTTCTTTTTTAATGGCTGCATAAGAGTCCTTGGCATGGGTGTTCTCTAATCTGTCCCTCCACCCCGCTGATGATAGCAGGCCTCTAGTAAACACTGCCCCAAGCCCCCCATAGGCCTCTCCTGGCTCACTGGGCTTCATGCCTTTTCTCTGCAACCTGTAGCTCAATGTTCCTGCTCCTGGAACTGGGGATAGCAATATCCAGAGACTGGCACGTCTCACTTTAAACTCATCAAACTTTTTTTATATCCATTTCTTTAGGAGAAATGTCGGTGGTTAACTTCATTTAAAGAAAAACATATGAGAAACTCCAGCTAGATTTGAAGAAGAAAAGGTACTACAGATTCATAAAATTTCATTTTAATGCTGGTTTTCCTGCTTACTTTCTGTGGTAGTCCTTACTTGTGAGAAGAGATAGGTTTTATTCCTTGGATTTCCTTCCTATGGGAGAAAAGGTTTGGATTTTAACTGTTTTTCTTTTTCTTTTTTTTTGAACAGAGATGCTGATTTTGAACAGAGATGCTGATTTTTCTTTTTCTTTTTTCTTTTTTTTTTTTTTTTGAACTGAGATGCTGATTTCCTTGGATTTCCTTCCTATGGGAGAAAAGGTTTGGATTTTAACTGTTTTTCTTTTTCTTTTTTTTTGAACAGAGATGCTGATTTGCCCAAGATCTACAGATAAACTAGTTGGAGAAAAGCCTTCAGCCCTTCTGCCCGAGAATTTCGATAAAACATCTGAGGCCCATAGCCTGGACAGCTTGGGGACCCCAAATTCATCTATTTTACATTCCCATTAGCAATATATGAGAAATCAAGTTTCCCCACATTCCCTGGCCAGCATTTGCTATTGTCATTGTCATTTTTTTTCTAACTTTAGCAATTCTAACAGGTATGTGGTCATATCTTACTGTAGTTTCAAATTGCAGTTCTCCAAAGTCTAAAAATGTTGAACATCTTTTCACTTGCTTATTTGTCATCTGAAATGTCTGTTCATGTCTTCTGCCCATTTTCTAAATGGACTGTTTGTTTTTTTACTGTTGACTTTTGAGATTATATGTGTATATATATGGTCCCCGAAGAATAAAAACTATCCTCCCTGGAAGCTTTTCCTTCATCTTTCTTTTAAATTCCTCACTGGTTTTCTTCCAGGGCAAGGGATGGCAGCAGCTAGGACAGCAGAGTGAGGCAGTGCTCAAGGAAAGGGGAGGACAAAAAGGAAGAAGGAGAGGGAAGGAGAGAAGTAAGGCTGGGTGACAGGCAAGGGCTGCATAAATGTCACTGGCGTGGGTGTTCTCTAATTCGTCCATCCACACCCCTGATGATGACAAGCCTCTATTAAACATTGTCCCAAGCCTCCCATAGACCCCTCTTAGCTCACTGGTGAAGCCCAAAGGGATGCCTTTGACAGCTGTTGGGAGAGCAGCCTGGAGAAGCCTAAAGATGCAGCCTGCAAACAATATACCCCTACCTGTCTGCTCAGCTTTTAGGAAGACCTCTTAGGGCACAAGCCCCTCCCTGGGATGGAAAGGCCAAGGAAAGTGGGTGAGTTAGGTGCTCTCTATCCTCCCCCAACTTGAAAGGTGGATCAGTTCTCAAGCTTTGTCACGTTGGGTGAGTCAGGTTTGCTTGGAGGCCCTGTCTAAGGGAAGATTGGAAGCCTAGAGCATATGACAGTGGATTCTGACTGGGCAAGCTGGGTCTTTCTGGATGCAACAGGACCCTGGGGCTGGGTCAGGACAGGAAAGGCAGTGCACTGATTGGGCCTGAGCCCCAAGTTCAGGGCAGAACCTCTCCCTTGCAATAAGAGTGAAGGGCAGGAGACATGCCTATTCTAACCTGCGCAGACCGAGCCTCCTGCCTCCCAGCCCCTGGCTGGGCGCTTTCCTGGACTGTTTGCGCTGACACCGCTCTAGCCCTCTACAGGCACACTCTACTGACCTGGCAACCCCAGGTTTGGGCCCCTAAGCCCAGTGGGGATGAACAGAGCCCCTCAGGTGGCAGCGCGTCACAAAGGCAGCCCGCGGCTTAGCATTTAACCTCTTCGAGGGTAAGACGCAGCCCCAGGAGGTCACGGAGTTGGCGTCGGAGCACAGAGGTGCAGGCGGAGCAGGCAGGCGCTCTCGCGGTCCCTGCAGCCCAATCACCCGGCAGCCAGAGCGGGGTGCGGCCGGCGTGCAGGTAAGGGTAGCCCGGGAATGAGCCGGGGAATGCGCCGGGACCCGCGCAGGTGAGCAGTCCTTCTCCATGAAGCTTCCCAGAGGTGGAAGGAAATCCTTAGGTCTCCTTCCCAGGTGGGCAGCTCTGATAAGGTAGACCAAGACTAGATTTGGGTTCAAATCCACATCCCCACTTACTACTTTATCTCAAATCCACATCCCCACTTACTACTTTATCTCATTGGGAGACTTTCGTAACCATCTGACATCTCCGTTTCCGCATTCGTAAAATGGGTGCGTTCATACCTTCGGTACAAGGCTGTTGTAGAAGTGCTTTGGCACCAACTTACCGACAGCAGCAAGCACTTGTATAGCATTCACTATGTGCCAGGCACTGTTCTGGTACTTTCCATATATTAGCTCATTTAATCCTCCTGACACTAGGAGAAAGGTACTGTTATTACCCCTATTTACATATGTGGAGACTGAGGTACAAAGAAATTAATTAGCCTAAGGTCACACATAGCAATTGACAGAACCAGGATCCGACCCACTAATGATCCAAGCTACTCTGCCGCTCACTGGTGAGGTCTTTGGGGGAGGGGAGGGTGTTCCCTGAATTTACAGATGACTTTTGGACCACTTGCAACAACCTTCCCAGCATACCACATATGTTCTTTTAAACACACCCTATGGCCTAAAGAGTCTGATAATTTTTCTGACCTGTGACTTTGTTAGGGAGAAGGGTTTCTTTAGCTCTCTAATTGGTTTTGCTTTTCTTGAGTACATTTTAGGCACCTTACTTCAGGTTAAGTGCTGTGGAGGCCCCTAGCCTCAGGCAGTCTATGTATGGCAACCTATTTCTTCATTTGTGAAACCTTGAAGTACCTACTCAAAAAAAGAATGAAGCTGGTCCCTAGGAATGTGTGGGCCCCGTGGAAAGAAAGGTTTGGATGCAGATCATAGTAAAGGATCAACAGTGACATGAGGGAAAAGAGAGGACCAGGCTGAATACTGACAGAGGCAGCGACTCTGGGAAGCCACTGGAGCCTTGTGTCCTGGTGGGGGTGGGGGTGGGGCAAGCTGCTGCCAAATCCCATATGGAAGACTGTCTGACCTGGAGATGGGAGGGCCAGCTGGAGGCAGGGGCCCAATTGTTCTGCAGGTGATGATGGGGTAGTGAGGACAAAGGCACAGAAGGTCCCAAAGTCCTTCACAGGAGCTTGCATGATGACACCATTGTGGTGGTGGTGGTGGGGGGAGCTGGAGGAGGCTGGGAGCCAGCATAGGGAGAGTGGATAGGAGACAGGCCGGAACACCCACCATGACAATCCATTCAGCAAATGAACACAATGGGTGAGATGTGTGCAGAGTGACATGAATGATGCTTACAAATATTAAATATGCATCGGGCAAGCACATACACAAACAAAAACACACTGGAATCATTGACTACGGTGGGGCAATGAAGTCAGACAAAGAGTTAAAATGGAATGAATGAATAAATAAATCCAAAGAGAGGTCTTGCACAGACAAATGTCTGTCCTGAATTGATTAACTTGTCCCTCAGCACCTGAGGCCTACCACCTGAGAAGGTAAGAAAAAGTAGAGGAGAAAGAGTCAGAAAGCCCAGGTTCTAGCCTGGGCCCTGTTACTAATTTGTTGTGTAGCGTCAGGCAAGCCCCTTCACCTTTCTGGGTCTCAGTTTCCATTTGTAAAGAAAGCAATTATCAGATTTTTTTCTGGCTTTGAGTTTTTATGAGCCATGATCAATAATCTTGGGACACTTGGTAAAGTAGCCAATAAAAGCCTTAAGAGTGATAGGGCTTGAACCTTGAAGAATGGGATGATTGGGAGAGGTAAAGAAGACGAGGAGAGTTTTCTGGCAGGAGAAACATTAAAAGCAAAAAGTCATGAAGATTTCAGCACATGGCAATACAAAATCTGAGGGCTCAGTCTATCAGGCAGGCCTTAGCATTCCCCAGCTACAAATCATGCCCTCCAAAGAACTCACAACCAACCCCATTCCCATTATGATGCCACCCTAGTCCCAGGTTTGAGCCTGGACTCCGCTCTGGACCATCCTTCCTCCGATCTCTGGAATGTACTTCCTAGACTTCAATGCTGACCACATCACTTCCATACAAGTGACCCTTCAACCTTTTCTGACCCCCTGTGACCTCAGTGTGGTTCTTCACCCTATTCTGCTGCTATGCCTTTTGAATGTCAACACAGCAGCAGCAATGTAGCTCAACACAGTAATTCTCATCCAGAGAAGAGGGCTGGCCATGTCAGGATTCCAAAGTCTTGGGGAATCCAAAGGGAACAGTGGGAATCCCTGGCCTCTGGGACACGATCTTTATCACATCATTCAGGGCCCCTCAATCTAGCACCTCCTACTGCCCCAGCTCCCATCCCATCACTCCCTGCCCCTTACAAATTAAACTCCAAACAATCTGTAGTTCCCTGAATGTGAACACATCACTGTACATTCACAGTTCTGTGGCTTTGCGAAGATTGTTCCCTCTGGCTGGAATGTATCAGTTCCCCCACCCCCACCACTAGGCCAACCTGGTATGCCTTGCAAATCCTACTCACCCTGCAAAACCCAACTCTGACATCATCTTCTCTGAGCAATCTTCTCTACTTCTTCGTTACCCAGACAGAATGAATCAACGCTCGTTTGTGCTACCCTGCACCATGAATATGCCTGAACCTTTTCACTTCTCCCACTCTATTGTAATTGAGTGCTGGTCTGCGTCCCTGATAGACCCCTAATGGACTTGTGACTCCTTGCGGGTGTTGACCATAAGGTGAATTTATTATTGCCCCACCTGCACCAGCACAGTGCCTATTACACATGGACCCACAGTGCAAATTTATTCAACTAAGTTTAATTTCTGTTTGGCAGGTAATGGCTCTTCCTTTTTACTCTCCACAGAAAAAGAGTGATTACTTTTCTTTCCTCATTTTTGGAAGCCCTGCCTATCACATAGCTGCACTGGACATCCTGGTTCCTTGATGGATGAAGAAAGCCAATTGATCGAGCCCCAAGACCAGAGCTGCTGGGCCACTCTGCCCGATGTGTGCCTGCGTCGTGTTTTCTGGTGGCTGGGAGACAGAGACAGGTCCAGGGCGGCTCTCGTCTGCAGAAAATGGAACCAGATGATGTATTCGGCTGACCTCTGGCGATACAGGACCATCACATTCAGTGGGAGACCTTCCAGGGTACATGCATCTGAATTCGAGTCAGCTCTTTGGTACGTTAAGAAATTTGGTCGTTATCTGGAGCACCTGGAGATCAAATTCATGAATCCTTACAATGCTCTCTTGACCAAGAAGTTCCAGGTCACCATGCGAGGCCTTCTCTCATGTCTCGGCAAGAGTAACAGCCGTCTGAAATCTCTTTCCATTCAGCACCTGGAGCTGGATCGCCTGGTCTGGAGGCACAGCATCAAGAGCTCTTTCATCAAAAGCTTGACCTTCTTCTTAAAGAAAATGGGCAAACACCTGGATTATCTCAACCTGAAAGGGGCCAGGGTGACTGTGGAGCAAGGCTGTCATGTTCTAAACTCTCTGAGCTACTTAAGGAATGAGAGTATGGCATCAGAGCTCAACATAGAGGACTTCTTCAGCCACCACCTCGCCGTCTACAGCAGCTCCGAGTTCAACAAGACCATGTCCACGTTCCGCAACCTTGTGTCCCTGACCCTCAACTACAACTGCATCTCTGACGAGCTACTTGAGGACTTGTGTGAGAATAATTCCAGTACCCTCCGGACTATAAACATCAAATGCCACGTTCATGACCCCCACGGGCAGGTCATCTGGGGCATGTCTTGGGCCAAGCTAGCCAGGCACACCACCAACTTGAAGGTGAACTTCTTCTTTGAGCGAGTCATGAAGTACGAGCGCTTGGTTCGGATTCTCTTGCAGGAGATCCCAATCAGGAGCATCAGTCTGAGAAGCTGCTATTTCAGTGACCCAGACTGGTCCATGCGACCCACTCTGCTGGATCTCCTGCCCACATTCCGGCACACTCTACAGGTAGGTATGACATAAGGGTGGGAGGCTTTCATACCCATGTTACTGGCTTACCCAGCGGAGAGGCCACTGCTGCCTACTCTTGGCTGGGTTTGCACACACTCAATCTCAAATTGAGGTTCTGGGAAATGTGACCAAATTAAGCCACCACTGGTTCCCAAGAACACAGCAGACAACATAATCTGCTGCTTACTTCCTACACATGGAACACAAGGAATTTTCTAGTTTGGCTGTCAACCAAGGAAAATCTCTATATCCCTGGCTCAGAGCTGCAAAGCTTGAGCAATAAGGTACCTCTACAGGTGAGTAGCAGGTCTGCAGCCTCTTCCTACCTTTTCACTAGGTTGCAGCAAGCAGGAAACAATGTGACTTCAAACCAAACAAAAAGCCAAATTTGCCCTAAGTCACTGAAAGGCTCAGAGGTATGGGCTATAATCTGGCAGCTCCCCATCTACAAAATCAGGGTCATTTTGTCCCTTCTAAGGACCTCACAGAAGGTTGTGACAATTGACATTAATAGGTGTAATACCACTACTAACAGTGACTGACTATGGCGTGCTCGGAGCTCATCCGATACTGAGATAGCCCTGAAGTGGCAGGCAGACGGCACTGTTATTCTTTTGTGCTACAGAACTTAAGGTTCGGTGGCCTGTCCACAGTCACCCGGCCAGCCCACTGCAGGGCTGGGACCAGCACTGTGGTGTCTGGACTCCAAGTACATTGCCTCCAAACTCCAAGTTTCACTGACTCGGGGAAGATCATCTTCATCCCCAGATCTCTCCCTCTGTGACCTATATGTCCATGGTCACATGTCTCTTATCTAAAGCTCTCGAACCGCCATGCCTAGGAGACCCAAAGCCAGGTTATGGAAATATTCTAGAATGATCCAGTTAGTCCCAGCATCTCTGCCCACATACGTCTTCCCCTCCGGTGCTTTTCCAGAAATTAACTTTTGAGTTCAACAACAACCACGAGTCCCTCGACGAGGAGCTGCACCTCCTTATCTTATCCTGCAGGAAGTTGTTTTACTTCAAAATCTGGGCTTTCCTCGATGTTAACTTTGTGGAGCGGATCCTGAAGAGTCAGGAAGAAGGACAGTGTGCCCTGCGCACACTCAAGGTAAGAGCCACCTGAGGCGGTCGCACAGGGATAGAACAGGGGCATCCAGGCCCTGGGCTCGGGACCAGCCAAGGTGCTTCTGTTCCGGGACGAAAGTCAGCAATGAGGCAGGGAATGGAGGCAGTCATCTTATCTGAGTCCGCCGACTGGAAATTAACAGTTTCATAGATGGGAGCCTGGAGTTTTTGCCTTAGTTGCTGGGTTTGGGTTTGTCCTGATTCTGGCAACAATTGTACACATATACATCATTCGCGTTGTTTTCGGTACCTGAGCGATGCAGTCACAGTGTATGCATGAGGGTGTGTTTCCTCTGTTGGCACAGGTGAGAATTTATACAAACAGATATGAGACGAATGAAGAGGACAGGACACTGAGGGAAATTTACCGGAGGTTCAGAAAGCTGATCAACTCAGAGCTTAACTATTTTGTCATCGCCTACCCCATGATGTAATGAGCACTCTCCAGAGGAAGAAGCTAGGAGCACTTTGAAGTTGAAGACCTGGTTCTCGCAGACGGACACTTGGGGCATCCCCTCCCCCCACTCCTTTTTCTTCTCTCTCTCCTTTTTTGCCACTTCCACGCCAATACGAACGCCCCAGCAAAAGCTGGGGCTGCTGGTAATACGAAGGCCTCAGGAGACTTTAAAGTGCTATATTTACCAACTATCCAGGGGTGATTTCTCGTTTTGTCCTTCGGTTTTGATTTTTGACACCCTTACTCGGCCACAGAGCTAAAAGCTCAGAGCCACTCAGAGCCGTTTCTTGCCCTGCTAACCTGTGTACCTGAAAAGGTATAACTAACCAGAGCAAATAGAACCATGTTTTCTACTCACTGACATGATCAGTTCAGAAATGTTTTTTATCTTGGCTGGCCTTCCTGTCAGAGCCTCCTGATACTGATATTGGCCGGGTCTGATTTCAGATGAATGGAAACCTACCAGCATGTCCTCCAACAAAGCAGGGAAATTCTCAGTTCTTAGAAGGAGCCTGTTCAGAGCCAGAACTCTCTCCTACGGAAGGACCTCAGCACCTAATATATCAGTGTTGTGGACTCAGATCTCCAGCATCTGCTTTTCTTGTGTCTCCTTCATGTTCCCATCCAGGCAGCACGGTGCCCAGTCCTCAGGTGTGGGGCAGAACGGAAAGTAGCCGTTACACTCACATTTATGAAGCATTTGTGATGTCATGGGGAAATGTTCTTAATGCAATGTTAAGTGAAAAAAAAGCAGGACACAAGATTGTATATTTAGTGTGATGTCAATCATCTAAAACACATAAAGAGTTTTTTTTTGAAAGCATAGACGAGATACACCAAATATGTTAACAGTTATCTCTGGGCAGTGGAATTGTGGGTGGTTTTAATTTTCCTTTTTGCGCTTTCCTATATTTCTCAAATTTTCTACAATGACCGTATGTTATTTTTATAATCAGAGAAATCTAGTGTGTTTGAAATTGGGGGTAATTATAAATTCCTAAGCCCATGCCATAGAGATGTATTGCTTCGGTCCTTTGAGATTTTTGTGCATATAGTTGCATATAGGGTTTTTTCAATAGATGTAAGTTAATAAAACCTCAGAATACTTTTGACAAGTGTCTCATTTCAGATTTTCCCTTGTCTTTTATATGTTGTGTCCATATGTATGCTCAGGTTTTAGGCCTTTGTTAAAGCTCATATATATCCAGCGTGGATATATTTCAACTTTATAAATTTCAGCCCTTCCACATTCTGTCTCACCTGAACATCGCTGCAGTGCTGTTGGGTAAATACTGTTCCTGTTTCACTAACATTCAGAAACGATGGACACTGGTGAAGAGAATAGGACCCCACCTGTGGGGGGCTCCTGGGACTGATGGGAGAAGACAATCTAACGTGCTGTAGCATGCTGAAACCAGAAGGGCCCTTGGGGCCCACCTACTTTCCTGTGGACCAGAGAGGAGGCAACTTGCTTGATGTGAGAAGGGAGCCTCAGCTGGGAGACCGATTGATTGATGGCGTAATGATTTATTTATAGTGCGGACTAGTTGTGGTTAGTTTCCTTTCATCCTCAAGCACAGGATCTAAGTGTAGAGGATCTTTTATGGAAAACATGTTCACAAAAATGTCATTTATGTGAACACGTTTTCGTAAAAGAGTCAATTTGTTTTACAGTTTTGCAAATCTCTTTCATGTCTGGCCTAACAGTAGACAGCAGGGTTCTCATCACTGCTTCAAACTATGTAACCTCCGGGAAATTCCAGAGAGGATGAGTGAAAAAAGTATATGACATCTGGGTATTAATGTTAAAATCATTTTGACTCTGTGGAGCCCTTGAAAAAAGGTCTGAAGGACCTTCAGCGATTGCCTTAAGCACAAGAAGAACTACTATACAGAATTCCAGTTCCCAAGGAATGGAGACAGGCCCAAGACCCAGAGATGCTCATGGGAAAATGCAGGGCACTTGAGGTTTCCAAACCCATAGATTTTTTAAAAAGTATTTGTTTTTAAATACTGCATTCACAGGCCCAGTGGTAGATGAGACAGCCGACAGAATGGTGACCTCTGTGACAACTTCTTGTCCATGCCTGTCCTCCTCCAACCTAGAGCAACAGGCTAGGATGGCTGTTCCCCACATGACCACTGAAGGTCCACATAGATCACCCAGTTCTTGGGACAAACATGGCATGGGAGAACTGCAGCACATCCTTGTCTGTATTTGTGAGTGGGAAATGTGTTCTGAATCCCTGGTGCTGCCTCTTAGTTGTTGATGGAGCTGATGAAGTCCTGGGACGAAGTGACGGGTACCCAGCTCCTCTGAATTTCCTAGTGTATAAGGAAAGCAAGGCTGTGATTGTAAACCCTTATTCATAGGCAAACTGACGATGTTTTTAAAGAGACTCTCAGGGATGGAGCTCTGACTCTCTGGGCTGGAAGTGTCCTGAGACCTGGTTAAAGGAAAAGCCTCGGGCCACTCCCTTTGCCCACTAGAGACCTTGGTCCACTCAGGCCACTAATTTGTATGACCTTGAATAAGTTCTTTACCCTGCTTAGGCCTTAGTTTCTGCTATTTGTAAAATGGGTAAAGCTGAACAACATATTGCTAAGGTTTATGAGACACAAATATGCTGGGATGAGGTTCTAGAGCTGTCGTGGGGATTAAGTGACACTGAACCCACATGGGAATGGCCTCATTTCCTAGCCCTGGTGCACCTGGGCTTCCAAGACAGGCTGCCTGGGTTCGAGTTCTAACCCGCCACTTACTTGCTGTGTGGGCTTGAGTATTTAACCTCCCTGAGTGTTAGCTCCTCTGTGTAAACAGAGAAATAATAGCACATCCCACATAGGTCTGCTGGGAAGAATAAATTATTTAATACATGTAATGAAATACATGAGCCTGTACCTTAGGTGTTCAATAAATGTCTTCTATCTTGTTTAATAAATGAGGAAACACACTCAAAAAAGGGACATGACTTGTCCAGAGTCATATGGCCAGTTAGAGGCAGAACTAATACTATAGTTTCCCAATTCAGAACCCAAAACTCTTTCTTCCACCCAAATGATAAAATGAGAAGAATCTAGTTTCGCTCCATGCCCTACTTAGTCAATCCATGCCAAACCTCATTAAATGATCACTGGTTGAGTATTTACTATGGACTAGGTATAAATTCACATAGTTTCATTTAATCCCCACAACAGCTCTAGAAGGTAGACTGTCGTTCTCTCTCTCTTAGAGATAAGGAAACTAACTGAGGCTTAGCAAAATTAATCTGCCAAAGATCGCACATTTAGGAAGGGTCGAAAGTGAGCATCAAATCCAATCCAATCATATATCCATTCTCTTAAACTACTATGCATTGCCTACCACAGCAAGATGATTTTGGAGTCAATTATACTACAGTTCCATTAAGCACAGGAGCATTCAGGGGAATCAATGAAAATTTGTTTTACTATGTTTGGCTTAGAAGTACTGCTGTGTATGATGAAACCAAGCATTTCTAGTAAAATAGGAAGCAAGCATTTCTAGTAAAATAGTTATAAATACATCTTTATGATGTTTTTAGGATGAGAGATGTATAGTTTCAGGGGGAAAATGTCACCAACTGTAACTTGAAAAAAAATTTTAATAAACACAAAATACCCTTTCTTTGGTGGATATTTATCCCTTTGTACATTTTACCCAAACAGCTTTCTAGAGAGAGACCTACAGAAATTTTGATTTGCAATTTGAAGCCACAGAATATTAATTCATTGGCTGAATATCACATATGGTGAGAAATTTGCATGGCTTCCCTGGGTAGTGCTTAGAAAATTAATCTATTCCTATGCCTCTACATTCGCAAAATTGCAGATTAAAAAAAAAATCTAGACACATACACACCCACACGCAAAATTTTAAATGCTCAAGTGGAATGTAAGCCCCTTTACAGCACACATTTTTGCTGTTATTGTATATCCCCACTGCCTGGAACTCCGCCAGGCACAGAGGAGGCACTCAATCTTTGTCGAATGATTTAAAATAGGATCTTGTTGAGGTGCGATTCAACCTTTGTTTACAGTGAACAATTGTTTCAAAGTAATATGCTTTATTTGTTTTGACCTATCTTACTGTCATAGACAAATATGTCTTTTTTTAAGCAATCAGTAAGAGCACGTCCATGAGACTAATAAAACCGTACAATTAATCCAGCCA